CATTTTAGTAATTCAGCTATTACTGACCGTGTCATCAGCTTCACACTCATTGGGATTTTTTTTCCTTTATACCTGCACACCAAGTACCTCACAACTTCCTACCACGCTCTTGTCTGAGCAGTTTGCAATCACTTAGATAATAAAGCTTTGTGGGAAGCATACTTCTGACCTTCATTTGTACAGAAATACAACAGTTCCACACAGACAGAGGTTCTGAACCGCAAGGCAGATGCTTGCTCAACCACCACTGGAAACATGCTGCCTGTTTACTGACAGAATAGAAACACCAAGGGGAAGAGGATTTATAAAAAAGGAGAACTAAACACTTGAGACAAAAATAAAAGAAGCTAAAAGTCTCCTGAACATCTGCAAAGTCTGACAGAGTAGCATAGTATTTCATTGCATACAAAGAAGCTCAGTGTTAGAAGACGAATCAGTTTTTTTAATATTTCTAGAATATTTTGGCTGTGATTGTATGTGTATTCTGAGTTCTTTTATCTACATGTAAATGCAGTATGTCAAGAGCAATATGTGACTACTGAACAGAATTAAAACATCTTACTTATCCCAGAAATATCTCTTGTCATTACTTTGTTTCTCTTCAAGGAAGTCACATGATACATTCAACAGTTTTATTTGGCTGCTACTTATTCTGCTATTCTTATAAAGAATACTGTAAGATACAGACATTCCTGTACTTGCCTTTTGCTATCAAGTGCCACATATATGGAAGACTTTGGGCAAAAATGCTGTACATTCTGCAACTAATACACCAAAGACATTTTAAAGTACATTACTTTTTCTAATTTACTTACAGCCATCACCTAAACTCTAGAATTACATATTGCCAAAGACCACTGTCATGCCTAGAGTACCTTGATGCTTTTGTGTTAACTGTTCTTAAATTAAGAAGCCTTGTGCTAATTTGCACAGGCAAAGACCAAAATGCCTGTCTCCAGGTGAATCTCTTGTCCTGCAGCTACAAGACCTTTGGTACTAACAGAGGACACATAATACAAGTACTGCTGCTTTTGACAACGATGTTAAAAATTTTTCTACCTTATCGCATGTCTATTTACAGAGAGATCAGGACTTACTATGACTGTCTTATTCTAGAGCTTCTAAAGTGTTAACTTTAAAAAGTTAACAGAGTGGTTCATGATAAAGTGGCTCACGATAAAGTAGCTCACAAAAGAACAGTCTGCTGCTCATTTCTTCCACTCATTTCAACTGTTTCCCTATAAGGGATCGCACTGGGGGACAGGGCACAGCTGCAAGGATCCAGTATAGCCAAGCTGTCTGAAGTCTCAGGGCTAGTTAACACATTTAGGATGTAAAATTTCAATATCATGGTGTAATTCTGAGTCCTGAAGTTCATATTCCAATGAAAAGTTATTTTAAACCAAAATTAGACCCTTTCTCTGGCTTGCCAAAAGCACAGCCTTTTCATTCCATCATACTAGACATCATCCCCAAGTTGTGTGAGAATGTTTACGCTCTTTGTTGAGCTGCCTAGCCAGGCGTTCTTAGGTGCTTCAAATACCATAAAAGAACAAGTCACCTCTCCTGCTGACTGGCTACTGAGTCCTTTTGCTCACAACAGCTAGATGGGTGCGGTGCCACGAACTTCCTAAACACGCCAGCTGTAACAGATACATCCAGGTGGACAGGATTTTTCTGCTAGAAATCAGAAACAAGACTGATTAGTTTTGTCACAAACTTATTTATTGAACGGTACTACACTTAGTACAAAGATACAAATCGTGCCTCAAAAAAAGCTCACAATCTAAGTCATGATTTGGCCAATACATTCCACAGAGAGATCAAAAGTTCACACTCAAAGTGAATTTTTTTAATTTTTAATATTTGGGTTAGATTTAATATATCCTGAGCACTAATTTGCTCTTCAGTTTATCCATGCATGAAGTGGAACTACAGCACAGAATCCAAGTTCCCTCAGCACTCAAAGAAATGCCTCAAACCTTTATACATTTTGTACACGTCCTCAAGCATCTTTATATTTTCAACCCTGATCCAAACACCAGAACTCTAGAGCCACTCTTCCCCTGTATTAGACATCTCCTGCCATCAATTCTAAACATGCCTCGTGTGCATTATGCCGTAGTAAACCTTCAGAGCTTAGCTATGCTATACACCGCATTAAACTCGAGAACTGTCCCTTTGTTTGCTGCTTTCCAAAGCATCAGAATTAATTTAAAAAAAAAAAGAAACAAAAAAACACCTTCAAATCAGAACTTACATAGAAAATACACCTAAACTAACAATCCACTTCTATCAAATTAGCACAATGGATCTCTTAGCTACATTGATAGGTCCCTCCGCTGTTGCTTTAGATAAAGGCAAGGTACGTCCTGTAGCTGAGTGAGCACTGTCAAACAGATGCTCATTACTCTGTGGAAAAATAATGGATCTGCATTACAGTCAACTATGGAGCAAATTTTATATAAGAAGTCCAAGTGTGAAACTAATGTTAAAAATACATAGTTTTATTATAGGCTTCAGCTAGTAACTCCTGTTTAGTAGTGTCAGAGCTAGCCTCTAAGACCAAATTCTCTTAGAGGACCTCTGACAGGTGCAGATACCCTGCCTCGCAAGGCTGCACTTCCAGAGAGCATCCATCACAGGGATGGAAGGACCGGACAAGACTACAGTCCCCCCACACACGCCGAAAAGCACTCAGCCCCGTCAACACTAGTCTTCCCCTGGCCTTGCTGCGCCTTCCCGTGAAGAAATGACCTCAGCCGCCTGGCAGGAGGCCAGGCAGCCATCAAAACCGCCAGCACCACGTGCAGAAGCGACCGGGCAGCAAGAGACGGTCACGTCCCCCTCCCCGGGCTTCACCCCAAACACGTCATGGGCAGCAGGGGATGATTAATGGCGACGGAGCGACGCCTTCCTCCGAGTGAAGCGCAGCCACCCGTGGCCCGCCCGCACCGGCTGCGGGACCGG